TTCTATCAGACTAACTTAACAACAACTATTGATTCAGGCCAATGTACAGAACCAAACAAAGTAGTCATTAAAGATAATTTACTGCTGTGGGTATTATTTTAATTGTATTTGTTGTTTCTTGGTTACCTATACGCTTCAGGAGAAATCAGAGATATTACCACTTTCTCCTGGGTGATAGAGAGTAACTGCGCAAACAGACAGGAAAAGATATTGATCAGTCAATATATTCAACCAACCACTTTATGCTTCTCTCTCTGAAATCAGAAAACTGATCGTTTTTCTGCCCAAAGAAGAACACTACTTCAGACCAGGGAATGGTTAAGAGCACTGCTTGGAATCTGACAGCGATTCTGCATTTCATAAGCAATGATGCTTAACTCACATGAGACCGGATATTGCATTTAATATTTATACCTTTCAATTTATGTACATACTGCATCCCTGAATGAAACCCAATTAAGATTTACAGAGTGTAGCCTGATATTTCACAGACATTTATTTCAAAAACAACAAGTAAAATCCTGTCAGTCGACATCTGATTTGTCAACAATTCTCAATGTAAAGAAGAAATGTAGGTGTAGGGGAGGCTTCCCATTTGCTTGCAGCTGCAAACCTAGGGATGTTAAACAATATTAACCAGCTTTCCGAATATTTCCGCTAGGGAAATGATATAACGGAAGGCTTAAGAAGGGAATAGGCAATGTGGCACACATGGATAACAACACATTCTAAAACACCTTTCTCAACAGCTAAGCTTTTCTACCCTTCGCACTTAGAAAGAAACAAAACTAATTTAATTACTGGCATCTGGGATTACTGTGAAATAGGCTTCTTTTGATGTTGAAAACTGTGGCTTTGAAGTTGCTTAGTGTGTTGGGTCTCACAACCTCTGCTTGTACTCAAGATTTTGGGGCAGGTTACTTGTGGAGATACCCAGGACAGTTCCTCAAATTACCAAAAATGCCCATAAACATTGCCTACCCCTGAATTAAGCAGCCTCATTCCCTCCATATATTTTGGACTGCAGTTCCTATTATCATTGACAATTGGCCACACTTGGCTGCCTGGGTATTATGAACTGGGTCTTTGAAATCTTTAGGTTCACAGTCCAGTGTTTCTTGCAGGGGTGTGGAGTGGGGAATTCTTGCAAACAGTTCATTTATTTACAACATTTATATACCACTCCTCATCTAAACAGATTCCAGAGTGGTGAACATTAAAAAGATTTAAAGCATAGAAAGAATAAAACACTATATTAAAACAGAACATCAGTTTTTAAAACAGGCTGATCAACCAAGAAAGGCTTTCTGAAATAAAGACATTGTCAGCTGGCACTGAAAACAACAGTGTTGGAGCTTGCCCAATCTCCAGAAGCAGGAAATTTCTGAGAAATGGCAGATGCCACGCTGAAGGCTTTGCTCATAGTGGACTCCAGTCAGGTCATAGGTTCATGTAGAGGCACTAGCAGCATACCATCTGATGTCTTCACTGACTGGACAGTTTGATAAGGGAGAAGGCACTCTCTCAAGTACTTTGGTTCAGGGCTTTATACACTAGTACCAAAACCTTAAAATTTGGCCCAGTAGGAGATATGAAGCCAATGTAGTTCCCTCAGCACAGCAACTGCATGCTGAAAAGGAACAGCTCCTGCTACTTTCAGTGTTAACTAGCTCCAGCTTCTGCACCAGCCTTAGGAGTAGCCCCATGTTGAACACATTGCAGTAACCTGGTTTTGCCTCTGTGGCAAAACTTTTTCAGGAGAGGCAGTAACTGATTAACAAGTTGTAGCTTGTAAAAGGCACTCTAAGCTGTCCTGGCAACTTGAGATTCCAGAAATTACAATGGATCTAGATGTATTCCAGGGCTACAAACCTGATCTTTCAAAGGGATTGCAACCACTCATGCACAGGGCTTCTATTTGCAAGGATTCCATTTCTGGCCCTTCTCCAGTCACACAACTCTGATCTGGTGTGTTGAAAATTTATGATCCTTTAAAAAGACAGATCTCTCACTGATCTTCTGCAGTTTCATACTAGTAACATATATCCTATTGTGTTTGGGGATGTTCTGCTAGGCTGGAACCCCAAATCTCTAGGAGGCCATCTAGCATACTATCTTGCTATCCAAAAGCAATTTTCATAGCTGGTTCACCTAGGTTAATAGGAAATGTAACATTAATAGAGCCACCTTTTACACTGGAAGGAGACGGTTACCTTTCCTTGGTCATTATTTTCATTAAGCCCAGAGTCCAATATGGTCTAACAGCACCACTGTCACCTGATTTCTCAGAGTGTACCTGACTCAGCAGAGACTGTCCAGCCGCTGCTGCTGGGCAATTGCACTTGTGCATGGAGCCACTGTAGGCAGTGCGGCCTGACAAGAGGAACAGCAGGCTGCTCATGTATCAAAGGTGTTCAAGAGGCCTTCCTTATTTGTTGCTCCTTCTAGGTTGATCCAGACCCCTTACCTTGGTGGAATCAGCAATGTGTTTCTTTGCAAAGAGGGTTGAATGATCAGCAGTATCTAAATTTAGAGAAAGCACTGCTGGTTTGCTTGGGTGTGCCTGGAGCTGCTTGGATCTACAGTCCTTTTTCTAGAGTGCATCTGCTTTTGCATGGTGCATGTGACCAGTTTCTGGTGGGTACATGTAATAGATGTAGAGGTGGCTTTTTTGTGTTGAAAAGCCACAATGCCTTATTGTGCCTTAAAGATTCAAACATTTATTGTGGCATGATAAAGTATCATGGACTTGAGCCTACTGTACAGAGTTACTTTGAAAGACATTGCTTTTCTTGTAACCAGAGAAAAATGGCACTTGCTGAAACAAAGATGACATGAAGATACAATAGATGGTCTCTGTAGCACCTGTTGCCTAGATTAGGTGGCTTTTTGCCCACATGTGCGTCCTATCTGGTGCTCCCCCCACCTTGAATCTTGTTTGTTTCATGAAATCAATGCCCTCCTCTCCCTGGCCATAAACCTTCTTTACTAATAGACATGTCCTTAGAAAAGTGGTCCTTTGAAAACAGACAGACAAGTGCTCCCTCTCTGTCTGTCTGTCTGTCTGTCTCTCTCTCTCTCACACACACACACACACACACACTTTACAGCCTGAGATAACTGCCTTAGACAGCTAATTTGGGATGTCATAAAAAATAGCAGATTATGTTATTATTGTATTTTCACTGCCAGGGACAGGAAAGGAGAGAGATGCTTATAAAATTTTCTGCCTCTGGATCCAAAATAACTTGAATGGATTTGAGTAGTGCCATGTTCCTTGACTGAGACTGGGGAAAGGTGCTTTTTTCTGCTCTGCCTCAATGGCAAAATGTTTTTGAAGAAAGTCCTGAATATGCTACCTGGGACACATTAGGAGCTGCAGGCCTTTTTTCCTGTCTAAACTTGTATACAATTGCACCATCTTAGATATTGACCCTCTCTTCTCAAATCCCAAAATGTTTCCATTTCAGATTTCAATTATTTAGATAACCTTATATACTTGCTTTTAACTGGATTAAAAATTATGCCTGATGGTGTTAACTGAGCCAAAAAAAAGAGAGATACAGATTCCTATCTGTAAGGAATATTTGAACTCAACACCCTAGGGCTAAAAGCGGAGGGAATTCTATTCCAAGACCTTGAGGTTCTTACTGACTATGATTTGGAGAAGACAGGGACAGGTTGAATTCTAGCAACCCTGCGGGGTTGCAGAAGCATTGCCACTGAAAGTTTACAAATTAGTTGTTATGTTAATGTCATAAATGGTGCAGCTGTTTTACAGTTGCTGGGCACACTGCAGCTGTAGTGTATTCCAATTCCATTAGTCAATGTTTGTTACTGAGGTAGGGTACTGCTGTGAGCCAAGCATAGCGCTAGTTCATGCCTATGCAAGTAGAAGCACAATTGTATCCATCTTAGCTTCGGCTATAGGCAATATAAAAATAAATAAATCAGACAGAGACCATATAGATGAGTTCTGCACACACACACACACACACACACACACACGTGTATGAGCAACCTCTATGAGTTGCTTGACAAAAGCACAGTCCTGAATTTGCAGAATCTTAGCATGGTCGAGCTCAAGCAGTTTGGTTATCCAAACATGTTAAGACCTGCTTCTTCAGTAGCCACTTCAGTGTGATGCTTTAAAACCTTTGCCACTATATGACACAAAATGAAAAAACAAAACTCTAGTTACAATCAATCTTTATTCCATACTAATGCCAGCTTCATTTTTGGCAGCAATCCAATGAGGTTCGTGAGTACTGATGAGGTTTTCTTTAAAAGGGAAGATTTCCTCCCTGCTCTTCTGTAGTTTCACATCAGTATGGTACATCCATGCCTTTGAAGAGTTACTGATAAGGTCTGAAGCCCCAAATCTCAAAACAGTAGCAGTTACATGGAAGATCTATATGTTGTCCCAAATATGTTTAAAATATCACTATGCACACATATTAAGTAGTAGAGGAAAATGTGACCTTTGGTCCCTCTAAAATGAGTCAGTTAGGGCACAATGCTGTGCATGTTTAGGCGTAAAAAAGCCCTACAACTTCCAGCATGCCCCAGTCCAGATGACTGGGGTATGCTAGGAGCCGCAGGCTTTTTTTTCCTGTCTCAACATGCGAGGATCGTGCCCTTCCTGAGTTGCAGATGGCAGAGAACAAGGTTGGCCCCGAGCTCTGGCTGCCTGAGCCACTGAACAGGCAGCAACAGAAGGCCCATTCTAAAACAGGGAATAGCAATATATTTAGGCATTGCCGACGCGGAGCGTATTGTGACTACAAAACTTAGTTCTTAAAGCTATTCCTCGGAAATATTTCCAGCAGAACTAACCATGCGGCTGCCTGGCCATCAGAAGAAACTTCTCCGGGGCTCGACTGAGGCAAAAGGAGACGGCGGCGGCTGGGGTCAGTTGCGGCGGGCCGCAGTGGGCGCAGATTGGCGGGAAGGGCCCGGGCCCCCCTCGCGTTTCCCGCCAGAGCTACAGCTTTACTCACCGGGATTCCTCGGTCCAGGGGCGGCGTTGCCGCTCTCCGCGTCGATGGCAGGCGGCGGCGGCGGCTGGGACTCGGCATCCGTGCTGGTCAGCCAAGTGGACTCGGTCTCCCGCGTCCAGCTCTCGTAGTAGCGCGGCTCGATGGCATCGGCGCGGCTCCCGCCGCAGCCCATCGTGCCGCGCGGCCCACTGGGCAGCCTCTGCTGCCCGCGGGCCCCCTCAGCGCCAGCACCGCGGCCAGCGGCGTGGCGAGAGCCGCAGCATCCCCTCCTCTCCCGTGCCCGGCCTCCGGCCAAGCGCGGGCGGCGGCGCCTTCCCTGCCTTTGCTGCCCGCCTCCTTCCCCCGCCCCGCACTCTCCCCGCCTCCTGCGCACGAGTGTCCCCCTTTCGGCTCCCGACGCCGCTTCGGTCCTCACCCACCCCTGCCTCGCTCTGCCTTCATGGCCTCCACCTTAGAAACCTCTTCCCTCAATTTATTCTGCCCCTCCTCCTCTTTTCCTTTAGCCCCCCAAGTTCCCCTCTCTTTTCATCCGCCTGTTTCTCTTCTGAAGCCACAGCTGGGCATTCATTAGGACCGACTAAAACTCCACAAAAGAATGTGTAAGCCTTCGAGATTTCCGGAGCCCCGGAGCAAGTTAGCTGTCTAGATGGCACAAAAAGCAAGATGGGAGAGAATAAAAAAAGTTCAAATAATCGGCCGGTTGTGGTGGCTGTGAAATCGGCAGGTTCGATGAGACACAGTCTCAAAAAGAAGATTGCAGACTGAAAAAAATAGCGGGTGATAGGTGCTGCATGTATCAGATTACACCCAGCAATGCTTCGGGAGAGAAGCAGCAATCTTTGATCTCCATTTCCAAGACTCAGTCTGTACTCTGACCTATCTTTGCCTTGGGCGTAACACACAGGGTCTTTTTCCCCCTTGTTTTCCTTCTGGTGGACTAATACAACTATCAATTTTTGTATGAGATGTTCTGGTCTTGGAAGCTGGACTGTAGAATGAAGACTGTAGAATTTATATTAATATAGAAATGAAATTGTCTTTCTTTTTTCTCCAGAGAAAGGGGCTGGGAGAAAAAAAGAAAGAAATACATGCTATTCAACTCTGGTGCTGAGACTGGAACATATTCTGCTCCCACAGCCATGTGTATTTCATTGTCTAATTAGTGCTGATTATTTAGTTAATTATAATTAATGGGTTATTGCTTGGCAGTGTGAGGGAAGAATTATCTAAGAACATTAGATCTTAGCTAATTGCCAGACCTCTCCTTGGTTCATTCAGATTCTGAAAGAACTGGGATTTATTCAGCATTGCTTTCTTTCAACACCCCTGTTTGACTAGGTTTATAAGCTTGTTCTCATTTATTTGGGAATTTGGGTTTTACTGAATTCCATAGAGATAGTGCCTGAATAAATATGGAGAAGACTGAGATGTTATGGCACTTTACCCCTATAATATGCAGCTTGTTCATGTCAGAAGTCAGACCCTACTGAATTCTATTTATTCATTCACTGTACTTCTATACCACCCAATACCTAAAGCTCTTTGGGTAGTTCATGATATGATAAAAGTAATATAAATACTTTAACATTCAAATTTGCTTAGTCAAGTTTTCTGTCAGCAGAAGAGACCATAACTTTAGCCCAAATGGAGAGTGAAACTGGTTGATGCTGCTTCCAGGCTGCTGCCAACCACAGGAACTTTGTTCAATATCTGCTCACTTTTATTTCATGAAAGGACAGGATCCCCAGTGTTGGTGAGATGTCTTCTTACCTGTTTCATTATTTTCTTCAGCTTCAAAATTTTGTAACCATATAGCAGGATGAATTTGCCCACCTAGGGTGGACCATGGGTCGCTATATAGCCACTGCCTATGTCTCTTAAGGGAATCAGGTGCTGCCCACACTTCTGCTTTGGAATATGCTGGAGCCAGAAAAAAATACTGTGACTTTTTGGAACAGCTGCTACCACCCACCCCGTGCCTCATTCTGAATAAGGCATAGGCAGGCAACCACTCTGAAAAGTTGTACTGACCACTTCCCTGCTGCAGCAGAGACCACAGAAAGAGAACTGGCCATCCAGTGATCTTCCTCTGAGCACCACTTAGAGCCATTGGTTGACAGGCTCTCCACAGAGCCTTCAAGTCCTTTCATTCTTCTGAGGGGGTCTTTCCTGAGAGCCAAGTATTGGCCCTGAAGACCTCCTATGCCACAGACCCCTCAGAGTGAGGGAGCTGATTGGTGGGAGGTTTCTGACAGATAAACGGAAGTACTTCTTCACACAATGAAAACTATGGAAATGGCTGCCAAGGAAAGTGGTGATGACCACCCATTGGATGGCTTGAAAAGGAGATTGGACAGATTCATGACGGAGGAGGATATCAATGGCCATTAACCTTGTTGACTATGTTGTGCCACCTCCTTTGCCAGAAATGGAATGCCTGCATAGAGCAATTGCTGAGGAGCTTGGGCAGGTGGAGGTCTTGCACCCATCCTGCTGGAGCAGTCTTGTAGGCAGCTGGACTGCCATTGTGTGTATGGAGTGCTGGACTAGATGGACCTTTGGTTTGATCCAGCATGGCTTTTCCCATGTTCTCATTGAGGTAAAGGCAGGAAGGGGGCAGCAGCTCTGACAGTTTATGCTCTCACTGCCACAGTGGCAGTTCGTTCTTCTTGCCACTGGCAGTCCCTCCTTATGTGCCACCATCCTTGATAGTGGGGACAGCGGCAGTGGGTGGTTTCATGCTGGGCCTACTGTAGCAAGAACCTATTTGCTGTTATGCACATTCAGTCTCACATACTGATGGGGTTGCTCTTGAAGATTTTCCAGGAACTGCAGTTAGTCCAAAATACAATTGTTAGTTGTTAACTGGTATTAGCCACCTGCTTTATACGAAGTGCCAGCAATCTGTTTCCATTTTGGTTCAAATGGAGTCTTGTCTCTTTTGTACAGCCCTGTCCTGTCCCAAAAGGTACCTCAGAGCCTAACAAAGCTAAGCTTCTTCCTATATCACTATCTCACCCACAGATTGTGACCCCTCAGCTCACCTGTATAGTTGGTCTTACAGATGGAAACTGGTAGAGTTTCAAAAGCATACCTTTGAGAATCACACTTTTCCAGCATTGTCCACATTGCCCAGGGCATTAACTGGCCAGGACAGGGTGGTGGTGGTGATCGTTTTGCTAAATCTTTAGCTCATATACTAATAACTTACACAGCTAAAACAGCACCATCCATACACAAGAAAGAAGTATCAGCATATTTAGGGGATCTCCAAAGTTTGCAGAAGTATAAGTATTCAGGGAGAAAAACTCAGGTGGTAACCCCATCCTCCCCTAACAGGCTAGGGAACAGACTGCTGCCTAAATAATATGGGGTTGGAGGACAGCATGAAACATGCTGTCAGAATTGACTCTCTGGAAACTTGATCAGGGATTTTTTAACAGGTCCTATTTTAAGATGCTGTTCATACGAAACAGGAATACATATTGGAATCTTGGAAATAAAGGTTGTTTTGCATAGGGTTTGGGTTACAACTGCCAGTGTTTTGAGATATAATTCATTTCAGTTGTGCGCACATCCTTGCTAGTTGCTGAGTAGTCGCTGTACGCTGCTGGGTGACAGTGTGAAAGAGAATGAACTTTACTATTATTACATAAAATAGCCTTCCACGCACTGAACTGACTCATCAGAACATCACTGAATAGGTTTTGCATCAGTATCAAACCATGACAGAGTAATCTTCATTCACCTTTCTTAAAACATGATTTAATCTTGCTCCTTACAACAGTGATGGATAGCAATGATAATCTTATTCTCTGTAAGAAATTACTGTCAGCTTGTCAGAAGGAGAAGGAGGGATAGACTTTCTGCAACTTATTTGATAAAAAGGAAGCCAGTTTGTATGCAAGCAGAACTACAGATGTAACATATATAAAGATGTTGAAACCATTGGAGGAAATAATATTCCACCCTGAAGCAGATTAAAGTTTGCAAAAAAAAATGAAATATATAGAATAATTACATTATCAAGCATGTATTTCATTTACTACCCCATGAACAAGAAATGTAGTGTATTAAATTCAACTGGTTTGTATATTTATGGAATAAATGCTTGTGGTATATCTTTATTCACTGTTCTGTTAAAAAAACCTGGAAGGCATCTTTCCAGGAAAAAGATCAAATATAATATTAAATTAAAAACAGCATGTATTATTTCAAATTGGAACACTAAAATCAATAAAGATTGCAATTGCCATAGCATTATTTGGAACAACAGATCAGTTTGATTTTTAAAACTTGGAGGGGAAAAGGAGGATCCAAAAACAGAAAGAGGGAGTTCAGTGGATCTCTTCAGGAAAAGTATTCCACAATTAGGGCATGACACTGAGACACAATCCTATACATGTTTCCACAGCTGCCTAGTCTATGAAGGAGTTGTAGGACTAATTATGTATTTGGTCTAAATGTGTGCATGATTGTACCTAGAACACAGACAGGAGGTTTCACTTTTTCTTTCCCTATCCCAACCAAATTAAATTCCTGTGCTATCTGCTGAAACTTTTCATTTCAGGTCTTTTCCAGGTATAAAGCTAGTGTGTAGGACATTTTCACTGTAATTGAGTTTGGCCCTCAATCTTCAGTTGATATGTCCTGCTATTAGAACACTTGATGCTTCATGTCTGACAAGAATGTCAGAGATGGGATTGATATACAACTGCAGCTAAAAAACAGTTCTGATCTGGGAGGTTTTTTGCAGAATCATTTATCCCATAATTGTGTTTCTTTTGAGGTTAAGTCATTGAAAGTGAGGAAGTTCACTACAGGTTTAATGGAATAGCATTGTTTGATACTGAAAGCTGAGAGATGTAACTCAGTGACTATTAAAGCAGAGACCTCTAATCTGAAGAAACTCTTTCCAGTTGTTGTTGTTGTTGTTGTTGTTGTTGTTTCAGTGCTGTTGCTATGATCTGTCAGCAAGAGGTTTCATAGTGAATTTAGCAACAACAATAAAAGTAATTCCACTCAAGTTTTTCTGGAACAAGAAGAAAATGTATATTTGAAGACTCCCCAGATTTGTCAACTGCTATATTAAATAAAGTATATAATATTTCATTAAATACCTACATTAGATACTCTTATATACTTACAACTATTTAGGGGAAACCTTTACAT